CCCGGCCTCGCGCCCCCCGCGGCCCCGGCCGGCGCCGGAAGTAACGTAGAGGAGCGGCCCCGCTTCCGGAAGGGGTGGGACAGAGCAGCGGGGTTAAAGAAAGGAGAGGAGGCGTGGGCTGCGCTGTGCTGTCGCTGGAGGCGCTCCCGGCGGCGCCTGCCTTGGTGCTTGCTAGTTGGTCGCCTCCAGTGAAAGGTCATGGCAGGACCCAAGCGAACCTGGACAACTACCCTTATCCCAGCCTCGGGACTGGAACAGCTGTGAGAGGAGACGAGACTCCCTGCAGAGGGCGGAGATGACGTTAGCCTGACCAGACTCACGTACGCCCAAGTTCAAGGACCCGTCGTAACCTAAAAATATACTGGGTGATCGTAGCTTCGAGCTTCCCCAACACTGAAGTTCCCTTTTTAAAAGCCTGAAGACTAAGTCGGATGTCAGAACTACTGCAAAGCCCAGGGGCTGCTCTCCCTCTACTTTCACCTTTATATCTAAACCAATGAGGCTGTCAGCTACGTAATGCCCTCTCATCGCTTCTCTTTAAGATTGCCCTTCAGCTAGAGGCTAGGCATTCAGGGTAATTAGATTAAAATCTAAATGGCTTATTGGCTTTTAGTAAGGTTGCAAAGAAGCTAAACAGCCTGCTCAGTGGTTACATATGGTTACTCCTTAACAAATTGATTAGTTCAGATCATCTGCTGGTTCGTAATTCTTAAACACTTATAAACACTTAGTAATTTAAACAAGTTGAGGTCAGTGTATCACAAACTGATGGAAGCTCAGACTTCACAATACAAAAGATATTTGCAGAAGATAAAGGAATAGGTTTGAAATCGAGCTATGTCTGATGACAGGCCTGAGTGGATCACCAGTGGGACATTTCGGGGGCGGGGGCTAGCAAAAGTACTGGGAAATTGAATTTTAAAAGTACATTGCCTAAAGCGAATTTCTTGACAGTATTGTTAACCAGAAATTCTGTAGCTTCTTTCTAAAGACTATTTAGTGGCTTTTTCAGAACAATATCAGCCTGCCCCATCGTGCTGGGTTTTTTTGTTTTTGGGTTTTTGTGTGTGTGGGGGGGGGGTTAAGCCTGATGCGAAGGCACATGTCTATTTCTAATGAGAGGCAGAAACAGGACGGAGACAATGGTGTCTAGCCTGTCTGAGCTCTACATAATGACCCACCCTCATAAAAAAAATAAGCCTGGCATAGAACAGAGTAGGTAAAATGAGGTTTGTACAGTAGTTCTAGCATAAGCTTCTCCTCTGAGAATGCCATCTATCTTGTCCCGAAAAGGAAAACTTGATCTGTAGTAAATGGGTAGTACCTAGTCCAGACTTCAAGCAGAAAACTTAGGAAGATATTTTAGATGGCTTCTACCATTCACGTTTCCTCAATAATTTTGATTTTGAAAAACGGGTAAATGGGGCATTTTAAGTTCCCCAGAGGCACTTTCCCAACCTCCTTGGAAAATGCTTTTCATAGGATTCCACCTCCAGAACAATGGAAATAATCTTTAAATTAGATGCCTCTATAAGAATATCTGAGCGGGATGTTGGTGGTGCGGGCCTTTAATCCCAGCACTCGGGAGGCAGAGGCAGGTGGATCTCTGTGAGTTCGAAGCCAGCCTGGTCTACAGAGCAAGATCCAGGACTACTTGTATAGAAAGAGATTTTAAATTGTCCCTTAGAACTATTTTTTTTTTCTCAAAATTTGCCGTTAGTGTGCTTTTCATGTACTTATATGTGTTTATTGGCCCTGTGATTTTAAAAATATTTTTCTTTGTTCTGAAAGGTCATTGTCATACCACACAAGCTATTCTTTAAAGTTTGGGCTTGGGCCTGGTGGGCGGAAGAGAGTATCTCTGTTGTTAGAGAGCTAGCCTAGTTTGCACAAAGCCCTGGGTTTGAGCCCCAGCCACACAAAGCAGGACATGGTAGTGACACCTGCATGATAGGTAGATAGGAAACTACCATGCAACTTTGGTATAGTGTTGAAGAACATTCACAGTTAATCTAGAAAGGCTACTAAAATACCCTCGTTCCAGTAATATTCAGATTTACATATTTTACCCAAACAAAATATTAAAACAGATTGCATAAAAAGTCAAATATAAGAATGCAACTTGACACTGGAGAGATGATTCAGCAGCTAAAGAGTATTTGCTTTTCTTTCAGAGGTCCTGGGCTCAGATTACAGAACCCGCATGGTGGCTCACATGCATCTGGAGTTCCAGGGAATCCCATGCTCTCTTTGGCCTCTGAGAGCACACACATGCTGACACATGTGCACACATACCCATACAAAAGATAAAAATATCTTTAAAAATCAAATTTCAGTTACATTAAACTGGACAATAACAAGGTTTGGAAGCCCAATCCCAGCACTTAAAAATAAAGGCAAGAGGATTAGGAGTTCAAGGTCAGCCTTGCCTACACCATCCTAAAACACATGAGGTCTTGTCTGGGAGCAGGGAGGTGTGATATGGCAGAAAGTAAAACCATAAACCTTTAAATGTTTTTGTTTTATAACAGTTACTTTTTCCTTTTCTCTTTCTTGCTTTTCAGACAAGTTTCTCTATGTAGACTTGGCTCTCCTTATAGACCAGGTTAGCCTCACAGAGATCCACCTGCTTCTTCCTCTCAGGTGCAGGGATTAAAGGTATGTGACCAGCAAAAGACTTATTTAAATAAATGATTTTTCTTCTTTTTTCTTTCCTCATTTTATTTATTTATCAAACTCACAGTCCTCCCTCTTTTTTTTCACAGGTCCTGGGGTTACAGGTAGACACCAGTATGTTTGTTTAATTTTCTCAAATTTTATTTCTAATATAGTAAAAATACCAGTAGATACGTTCTTTTAAAAGTACTTAGCAGTTTTCAGCAATTTTTAAGAGTATAAAGGACTTTGGGCCAAATACTACACTAAATCACAGACATAAAAACTTAATTGTTGCCTTCAAGCTTGTAAATGATACACAGTTCACAAGTAGGGCCATAACCACTATTACTCCATGATCCTGTAAATAGGAATTTTACAAAATCTGTCAATACTGCTTCTCCTTTAGAGAGGTTGGTTGGTTTAGAGGTTTTTTAGTCTTGAAAAATTTTAAACTCTCAGCCTTCTCCATTACACACACACACACACACACACACACACACACACACAACCACACACACATACACACACACACACACACACACACATACACACACACACACACGATACCAGCTAAGTGAACTTTTGAATAAGTAAATACCTGCTAGTATTTACTGAACACTTAGTATGTACCACATTCTGTGCCAAGTTATTTTCTCATTTAA